GAAATGTTAACCAGAGGAATATAAACCAATAACACTTTCTTTCTCAACAGCTAAAAAGTGTCCACTTATGGAATAGCTTCATAATTTTTTATGAAGGCTGTATAAAAAAACATTAGAAATTATTTCAATAAAGGTGTCAAACATTAAATAGTGTACTGGCTGCTAACACCAGGTACCTAAACTCACACTACTGTAGTTGGTCAATTGAAAAGATGTTACAAAAGCATCTCATAAACTCTGTCACACAAGGTCTGTCACCATCCACCACACTGAGATCCATTGATCTGTGGAAATACATTAAAATAATGTGGACAGCACCTGAAATGTGACAAAAAAAAATGTGTTTAACTAACGTCATAATCTAACAGTTACGGTAATTATTAAATAATTATCTACATTTTACACATGACTAGTATGTGTATCTGCAATCATAAAACTGACTCATGTAACACACACACGACAACCTTCACTTCAGGAATCATGAAACTGGTTTGTGGAGTAAAAAAAGGGGCAGAGTGTTTATTGGAACTCAGTCTTCACACCAGGCAGCACATCACTCGTCAATGAGATCACAATGCTCGCCAATATCATGACACAGGCAGACAAAAACAAACACATGAAGCCATGTAAGGGGGTGGGGGGGCGCACACATCAGCCTCCTCCATCCAAAGGCTGAAGGATGTGATTCCGTAAATGTCCTCGGTAAACAGTGAATGACGCCTGGCCAGTGCACAGGTTCACATTGGTTTCGTTTTTTTATCACCACAGAATAAGCATGTCACATTGTAACAATCACACACGTGCTCCGGTCAAACCCTTTATCTCAGCTTTGACACTTTCCATGACCGTTAAAAAAAAAAGAAAAAAAAAAGAATCAATCAGCAAAGTGTTAGGGCTTAGTGAATACAGCTAATTAAGTTGTGTACAGTATGTGGGAAAAAAAAACAGCAAAGTGTAGAATGACAAGTTTCTTCATAATGACAAAACGTTTACCTCACAGGAGTTTTCACCCAAAACAAAAAAAAGTCTGTGTTTTTGTAAGCATTCAAATTCACGACTAGAGAGAGACGTGAAAAGAAAAGGGTTAATAAAATATTCTTACAAAAGTTTGACCATGCAATGTTCAGATATTATATGTATATAAATAAAAAATGAATGTAAACATAAGTTAGAATGAATCTCAGAGAGCGCTGAGACGTTTCATGTGGGCGAGATTGTGGACCAAAATTCATTAATAATTTTTTTTCCTTACACAGGACCTGTAACTGAGGAACTCACATCAGATCACATCTCTTGACATTTCTTCCATCGTACCCAGGTTACAGGCGGAGCAGACAATGAGGTGTATAACGTCTACACTCTGCTGCGGCTGCGTTGTCATTCTGTTCTTGATCAACATCTGACCGATTTCTTACTTCCCTGAATCACAGCATGGTATGTGGGTCAGAACCTAACCTGAGCCAATCACAGAGGTTGAATACTTCACCGAAAGCCTTGTCAGATTAGGTTAGATTACTTGAATTCACCCTGAAGGAAGGATTACATGATGACAGTGTCGATTAAGACTGGAACAGCTGGCAAAAAAATAAAAATAATGATGTCATGAATGCATCATCTACTACACTTAAACTCAATATTGTAAAACAACATCGAGTACTAGGATTGTTTGGATCGGTGTGTTTGTGGATTTGCTGATTTGAAGTGCAAGGGCCAGAAAATATAGGACAGAATGTTGACATTTATAAAGTGACTTGTTAATATATTAGAGATTCTGATGGATGGGTGTTTTCTCACTAAATCGCAGCAGGTCAATGACGTCAGCTGAGTCGATGTCAATACTGTAAGCATGTAATCACGTGACCTCGGATGGATGTCATGACCAGGTCTGAACATTTCATTCACTTTTTCCTCTGTCGTCTTCAGCTTCTATTGTGCTTTGGTTCTGGGATTGTGTCTTTGCGTCAGTTTTATTTATTTTTTAATCTCCCTGCCTGTACGACCCCTAACTTCACAATTTTCCCATCCAACACACCCGCGTGGTCTCTCTCTCCGCAGCATGAGCCGGCAGGTTCAGTCATGCAGGTAATTAGGTAGCAGGTCACCTCCCACTGCTCAGCAGTGACAGCAGTCTGACAAGATTCGTCTATTGGGCTTGAACTACAATCTCTTTTCAATAAAAATGTATGTACAGGATTCCATAAACCCCACAAAGCTGTCTTTGGCGTTCTCATTCACCACCTCATTTTCCAACATTTCCTTCCTCCCTCATCTCGTTTCCACCCTATTTTTTTTTAGAGTTTTAATGATTGTTGTAGACACTTAAAATGAATCCTAAAAGTACAACACGGATCACTGCTGCCAGACCAACACCAGGCTTCATGAACTCTAAAGATCTACGACGTCTCTACTGGTCTTTCTTTTTCTATATTACAGTACATGGTGCAACTCGGTGACCGTGACGTTGGGCGACAGACTGTGTAAACGGACGATGTAAACAGATAAGAAATACGATCAAAGGTTTCATTTCGAGTGGCATGCACCTCACTATTGTCATAACCAAATTAACTTGTTGTGTTTTGCGCACATACACACACACACAAACAAATAAACAACATCTGTGATACACAGTAGATTATTAGGGTTCTCCCAGGTTCTTTTTTCACTCAGAGCATCTACGTCTGCGTCACTGCCACTCTGCCTTCTTTACTCTAAAAAACAAAATCGTACAACACTCAGCTTTTGCTTGGCACTAATTAGAATCAATGTGCAACTGCAGACGCAACACGGTCAGGGGGGGGGGGCACTGACTGAACTAGGTTCTGGTTTGACCAAATAGGGGGCCAGAAATTGGAAAAAATAAAATTCACGTGTGTGTGTAAAATAATCAAAATAACTTCACAGAAGGGAGAAGAAAAACAGAACAAAAACCATGTAACATTCAAATGTAACAGACAAAAAAAAAAAAACCTAAATCAACGAACAGTCGTCTACTACATGGTAATACTGTGAACTGCACCATCACTCCCAAAGAAACAAAACAGAACGATAACAACATACATGATTTAAAATAGACTTGTATGGCTCCAGGTAGCTTCCCATGTCTGCTCCGGACCAAAGAATCTACCAATAATAAAGAAGAAGAAGAAGAGGATGAGATGAAAAGAATGCTCAGGCTGTTTTTCTCTCACACTCATTCACAGTTTCAAGTCTGTAGTGTTTTGTTTGTGTGAATCTGTGGAACAAGGCATCGCTGTTCGGGGCGGATGGCGGCAATGCAAAGATGCTGGAAAGAAAAGACAGGCGGCTTTTGAAAAAAAAAAAAAAGAAAATCGCTCGTCGACCCTGACGCTTGAACAAAACACATGAGCTTAGACTCTGGGATGATCGTACCGAAGCAAAATTACCGAAGAGGTTCGGAATCTAAGCAGAAGAGAAAAAGGTCACCCGGTTCAGATATATAGATACACGCTCGCCAGCAGAACGATGAGTACATGACAAAAAAAAAAAAAGATCCTTCTGAAATAAAGGTAGAATTGATAGGAAAATATGAGCTTTTTTTTTTTTTGATGATGATGAAGTGGATCACAAATCATAGCCCTTTCATTTATAACCATGCAATCAAATCAGCCAGTGTGGGCATGCATTTGTGTGGAAAAATGCGTGACTTCCACTAATCGGGAAGGAAAACAGTCACAGACAGTTAAAAGTGTCAAACGTAATAATAAAAAGGAGGGTTTTTTTAATTATTTTTTTATCTGCAGTTTTTGTGTCCATTTGACTAAAAGGACAGTCTTGCGTCCACGCACGGGAAGGAAACGGTTAAAATTCATAACCTCTAAACCCAACCGAAGAGAGAATTTGTTTGTTTTTTTTCTTCCAAGTCTGAGGACGGTCCGTCTGTGAGAGGAGGGGGGCGGGAAGAGGAGAAGGTGAAAACACATCCACTCAAGTGCTGAACAATCTCAGTAAAAATAAGGATACCGAGACCGAATCGGGGACGAGAGCAGTGGTCCGGGTCCTCGTTCAGTAGTTTGTACATCCAACGAAACTTCTTTACACGCACGTACGCACGCACACATACACGCAGATTCATTTTTCACATGTACGAGCGTGCAGAAACGCTCACACGTTGGGGTTATTCTAGTTAAGGCAGTGGTGGCAGGTGAGGCTGCAAAAGGCTGTAGTGAGGCCGGGGCTAGAATTGGAGAATCATCAGGCAGGGCTCATGGCAGTGAAACCTCTACTCCCACTACTGAGTCAGCGCTGCTCCTCGTCCTCCTCATCGTCGTCGTCTGTGTCCTCATCCTTGTCGTCTTTTGTTCGTTCACACTTCCCAGCATCACTCACTCAAATGACATCAGATTGGCTGGCACCTGGAAGACAGAAGGAGATTGATGGAAAAGTGCCATCCGGCAGTGTGTGTCTGAGAGTGTGTGTGTGTGTGTGTGTCTTTTGCGGCCCTCTACCTGTTGTCTATTGCTCTGACAGGCAGCACTCAGATGTTTGAACCAGAGCAAAGCGTTTATTCTGTTCCCTGCTTGGTACTTGTAGGTGTTACCTAGGCAGCAGCAGAGACAAATAGTGTTAGTTTCCAGCTCTCTCCACTCTTCTACTTGTGCTTTTTTTTTCTTTTTTTTCTCAACACTGTGGAAAAGGGAAAAATTGCTCAAGTCTGACTTGACTTTGGCTCACCGGGCAAAACAAAAACAGTCACGGAGAAGTTCAGGACAAAGTTAAATGGACCGTGGCTCTGCGTAACTTGCAGTAAATTAATATAAAAAAAAAAACCTCCAAAATATATTCAATATAATTCACTGTTACGGCAGAACTACTATGAATGAAATAGTTTAATGTGTGTTGATCTCACCGTGCTCGGAATCTGTCAGCAAGAAGACGTCGGGATGCTCCAGATCGTCCGCCATCATGGCCATCAGGCCCACCACACACACACTCTTGCTAGACGTCGACTTGAACTGAGATGGGGGGGAAAAAAAAAGCAAAGAAAAGCAATAATTAGTCGGGTCTAAACATAAAAACAGTAAATGCGTGCGTCCCAATGGGTGTAGAATGTCTTTGAGCTTCCATGTCCACGAGACAAGGTTCTAATTAGCCCGTGAGGGACACGCAGGACCTCAGTGATGTCACTGCTCTCATTATGCAGACTGCTTCCATCTGTTCGTCCTCCTCAGTCTAAACCAAGTCTGGACTTCAACACAGGACGAGACATTAAATTCAATTTACCGTAAACTCCATTCATTTCATTTCTATTTCATATATAAGACTTTTTTGTCACGTGTCATTATTTTTTTAACTCATTTAGATCATATGTAACTTCACGCCACAAAGACGCTGAAACGCCTCCTAACATTTGTCCCTCGGTTCATTTCGTCAGCAACGTTTGAAGAGCAGGACGGTCGTCGGAGACTTACATGTTTCCTCTCAGTGGCCTTCAGGGACTTGGCAGCGTAGTAGTACAGCTGAGTTCCACAAAGGGCAACCCAGTATTTGGTCCAAGAGGCCACCTGGAGGGGATTGTGGGTAGAGATGGGAGATCAGTGATGGGCTAGACCAATTTGATCTTACTTTTACATTTTTTTTCTCCTGGAGGCAAAAATAAATACATATCCATGGCGAAGGGGGAAAAAACATGACAGCAACGGTTATTTTAGCTGCAAAAATGGGATTTGTTTCCATGACAGAGGAGGGTAATCATAAATATATGAAATGACTTGAGCAGAGAAAGGGAAAGGATAACTATGGAAACAAATGTGAGCACAGGTAGACGGAGGGAGAATTACAACGAGTACGGAAATACAGACAGGACACAGGGAGAAACGGAGATGTTCAGCAGCTTTGACGACTCTCTGGGGTCCTGTTTCTGTGACCATCTGCTGTATGTAGAGGTGTAGGAATAGCACATGGACACACAGACATGGAGACTGCGTGTTTGGGTTCTCACTGTCGGTTTCTTGCCCTCCTTCATTACAGTCTTCCTTCGCAACACCCCCTGCATGGTGACAGCTCCTGGATACAGATGAACCGCCAGCTCCTCTGACTCCGCCGAGCTGCAAGACATCAAATAAAACGATTACGAAAACAGTTCCACTCAAAATGAACCCCAGAGAACATGCATGCGTCCCTGCATGCATGTGTACCAGATCAACTCAGAGATGAACGCGCACCAAAGGCCGACATATTCTGCAAAAAACCTTGCACTCTGCCTGGTGCGTTTTTTGCGTGCGTCGATTAGCTTTTACGTGTTAACACTGCCATCTACAGGTGAAGAAAACGGGCAGAGGTGATCAAGGTGCTGTGCAGATTGTGTCCGTCTGGAGGATCAGAGCAGGAAGCCCTGTGCAGAGACAGAGTGAAAGCTGGTGGAAACAGGGGAAAGAGAAGAAGAGTCCACCTCTGAGTCCCCCGAAAAAAAAAAAAAAAAAAAAACTGCCTAAGAAGAAGCCGAAGAGTCTGCTTTTCTCTCACTTGAAGAATTAGGCCATTTCGGTTGATTTCCAGTATCACATGTGTGACAGTGGAAAGAGAGGTTTCAGCTCCAAGCTTGGAATCCTATCACAGAGGGAGTGTGCTAACGTGTGTGAGCGCAACAGAGCAGACATGCAAGAAGAAAC